AGTCAAATGTATTGTTATTTACATTACTGGGAGTGCCCTCTAAGCACTTAACAAAACGAAGCGATCGATTATATAAATAACCGCTGATCCGCACATTATTATTTATAGTATTTACTATTGCTCGATCACTTGTCAGAAAACAATGACGGATTCCAAAYGAATGACAGCAGAAATGATAAAAAGCGATTGGATTTAGACATATTAATTAGTTTATTATTTTTAGACGAAACTATTTCATATTATTCAATAATATTATTATTTATACCCTTAATCGCTGCAGACATTCGAGCATTCAACGTAACAAGACCTTTAAATTTAAAGAATTCGACAACAAGCTCGTTGCTTTTGATATTCACATATCTATCAACTGCATGTTTAGTGACCCTCTTTGTTCATATTTGGATAGTCTTTATTCGTAAGACGAAGAAAGGTTTGATATCTTTCTAAATTCTCTTGAAAGACGCACAGACTTACTCTGCAAAGTTGAAATATTCAATAAATATAAGACTTGGAATAAGCTTGCTTTTCCATTCACTTCATAAGCAAAAGCGATCGATCGTGAATACTAAAAAAGAAATTATACTCTAAGGAATGTACGCTACAATTATTTGTAAATATATCAATTACTTTTATCTTCTTTTTTTGTTGTTGTTGTTGTAAATTTCGTGTAAATATTTTAAGATAGTTTGGAAAATAAAGATTGATTACTATTTATTTTAACTTTGTTTATTAATTAATTTATTTATTTATCTAACTTTATACACGTTCGATGATCTTCATATCTGATATGTATGGAGTCCCACAGTGATCAGTTCTCGGACCAGTAATGTTTTCACCATATTTTGCTCCATTATTTTTCTAACTTGCCTCCAGTTCAATATACGAAGGGGGGGGATGATAGAAATATAGATACATGTTCTGAGGCAGGGGAACCGCAACAGCTAAAACCAATTACTACGGACCCTTATCAAAATAATAAAGTCAGTGTCCTGTCAATACATTTAGGAGCAGCACGTTAAAGAACTAAGGAGACAACGAGCAGAATTACATTTTCAAGTGATTGATTCCATGGGCTGTACGAGCACTAAAGAACTGATCATGAGATGTAGTAGAGAATGTCTGCGTAGCACTGGCATAGACTGTATGCTGTATGCTGTATGCCGATGACAGCTTTAGGAGAGTCAAGCAACACTATATTGAAACATTGAAAATCGATAGCAGATTGCCTGGAAATCAAAATCCCACAATTCATTGCGCATCACGATGAGATCACGCACGTGACGTACACACTACTTTTACTTAGACGCCAGCTACTCTCATTAATAATTAAGTGTGCACAGTTCTGTTGACTTAAGCACTGACYTCAGTAAACCCAATAAATGTACAACCTTGTCGTATGTCAGAACATTGACAACAAACCATCTACAAAAAAACAAGGGCAACCCTGAACGAGATGATGTCTGGGCTATGACGTCACTGGGATCTATTCCAGTTTTTTTCAAAGATAAATACTCTATATTCTAGAACAATAGCAAAGATTTATCAAACGTGATTAAAGAAAATTTATGAAAAGAAAAATAGGAAGCAAACTGAGAATCATGACAATAAAACTGTAATGTTTTGAATAATACTACAATAGACTAAATAATCATGTAACCTTTAAACATGTCAAAAAAATATGAAAAAAAAAAAAAGATCCAGAAGATCCAATTACGTAATTAAAAAACCAGAATAGTGACAGGACGCTTGGTATCAGTCGGGAATACAACCTTCAGTCAAGTATTTGTCAGATTTTCGTTCATATCTGTTGACTGTGCAGCATTCGTTATGGCATCGAAGACAGTCAGGAAGAAAATAAAAGTCGAACCGAAAAGAAAGACGTCTATCATTGAAAAACTGTCGCCTTCAAAGCATCAAGAATCCTCTGAGGTGTCACTTTCAACTTATTACTTGGATATTGTAGATCCACCAGTCGACCCAATACAACACCCGGAAATAGACGAAAGAAAGATTGCTCGTAGTTCTGCCGGCGATTCTACAGACGAAAAAAACAGCAACCCTGGACAAGTTAAAGATTTTGTTACCAGACATCCACCAGAGGCGACCTCCAAGGAAAGAAGTTGTCGTTTACTGGAAGGAAGTTGTCTTCATGTTATGTTGTTGTACGTAATGACGTTGGTATCCCTTACGACACTGGTGTTCATGGTTCTTTTCATGTTTGGCATGGTACGATTTTCAAGTGGGGGTTGTAAGTGCTCAACTCAAGGGGATTATAGCTCTAACGGTATGTGAACTATTTCATGAAGTTAGACAGGCTTTGAAGGGTTGAATAGACTTCACACGTCTTGTTGGAAGGCTGTGTGATACAGTCAAAATATTTCATCTCATAAATTGATGTTTTTCCAATTCATAGAGTTTGACACAAAAGATGACATCTGAGTACCGAACAATTATTTATAAGGAAGAAGCAAAGTTTTCGGTCGGGGCTTAATTAAAGTTAAGATAAAAGCAACACCAGTGTTTGTAGGAGGTGAATGGGATCTATCCTTGCCATAATCTTATCTTTCTTTATTTAGTTAAGTGATCAGCAGTTGTTGCGAATCAAAGCAAGCCTGTTGCACGATACAGGCTTTTATATTTTAGTTGGGAATGATAAATAGTAAAACTAGACGATGTTTACAGAATCAAGAAGTTTGATACACGTAAAATTCGATCAAGTTCAACTTTGACAAAAAGGGAAAAAAATAAAAAGCATATAAATATTTATAGCTTATTGAGGCAGGACAATGGTTACTGTAGAACATAAGGGACGATCCATACCAGAGGGTGGTGGTGGTGGTGAGGGAAAGGAGGGATCAAATAATCAATCAATCAATCAATCAATCAATCAATCAATCAATCAATCAACTTTATTTATCTACGGTAGACGGCTCAGCAAACTGATTTTCAGACTTGCTGTGCTAAGATGTGCACTACAACTCGATCGGAGCTTTTCTTTATGCTATTTAGAAAAACAAAGAAACAAACCAAGTAATTTTTTCCCCCAAACGTCAGTACATTTGTGCGGGAATCCAAGGACAATGTATGATCTTTTTGGTGACCGTAACACAATCCAACACTATTTATACCACGTGACAGCTAGCGCCGAAGGGGTGAATTCAGGGAGGAAATTGCTATTACTTTTTTTCTTGTCATGGCTGCCATCATCTGATGGTGCAAAGCCTCTATAGGTCAGAATAAAGAAAATGTCATCTTTTTCAACCCTCCTTCCCCATTATTCCTGCCAATCTTTTCGTGAACCCCTGTTTATTCACAGGTAGCCCATGCTAGGTTCCTGTGGTGTCCTGTTGTTAGGGGATGTATGGCGATACTTAAAAACTCAATAAAATCGTCAAAATGTGAAATAAAGCTAAGAACTCTTAACTGACCTTTGAAAAGTAGTACCTCTTTCGCCCTGTGTACTTAGATTTTGGATTTAATCAGATTTAACGTTTTTTCCTCCACCGTTAAGAGGGAGACGGTGACTAGCTATCTCCTCTCTCCTATTCATATAACTCATCAATAATCTACCCCCCTTTTCAGAGTCACTAAAATTTCTAGGCCCCCTCTATTTTCCATTTCTGTCCAATGGCGCTTTACAAATTACAATTAAACACTAAAAATATGCGGTAAAATAGTTAAGAGTTATATCAAGATGTTGAAATATATATACATTAAAATTTGTTTTCCTAGTTAGACCCAGCCTTAACACCGAGTCCCACATGCGCCGAATCCAACGCAAACGAGCGACGATTGGAGTTCATTTGCATTAGATCCGGCACATGCGGAACGCGGTGCCCAGGCCAGGCCTTGATGACATGATATTAAAATGTAATTTATACTAATTTATATCAAAAGAAATTAATAAAGCTACTAATATGAATAATTTGCTAATTTAAATAATAGAATCAATTAAATAAAATAAAAATTAACTGATCATGATTAAGAATTCGACAAGAAAACTGTCTAGGTATACAAAGAGAAATGACTGCCATGCCGGCAAGGTCGCGGAAATGTAAAGCATCCATAACATTCGGGCAGTATTGGTCTCTTGACTGTCCCATCATGCCCTTCGTGAGCTAATGATATTTTGAAATTATTTTTCATACAGTATTGAACAGCACTAGACTCCAGATTCTAAGCCAAGCACTTCAAAATATGTCTGCTAAGGTAATATTTGCATCACTACTTAATAGCGTTGATTAAGTGAATATTTCTCGCCTTAA